AAACTTTGTGTAATTACTGTCAAAGCCAGAGGAGGGAGACAAAACTTAACCACCACAGGTTCAACATAGGAAACCTCCACATCTGTACCATCCACCCCACTTGTGATGTAAATGCACCTCCAACACTAATAACCTTTATCAGGATTACTTTATCTAGAAAACGTTTCATACAGAATCTCACAATCCGTTCTAACACAAAGGGTCAACTACACTTCTCATTTAATTTTAGTAAGAATCCACTTTATAACACCTAATTACAGCACTGAAAAGGTTAAATGGTGCTTTGTGTCAATGTAAAAACTAATCAAAGTGACAGTAATACAAAGGGAAATGTTTGGCAAAGGTGACCAGCCTGATGTAGGTGTTAGTGCATCTCTGTATGCTTGTTTCACATCATAGCAGCCTTCAGATTGAGCATGAGCCTCTTCTTTTCTCATTTCTTCACACCTTTGCTCTGTTCTCCTGCCTGCCTCTGCGTGAATCCCTCTAACAGCAAAACGTAACTCAGAAAAAGGGGTAGAGGAAGAAGAAGAAAGAGGAGGAAGAGGAGGAGGAACCGGGAGGGATTTTTACTCTTCTTTAGTGTCTAAATGAGGGTGGATGACTCGGGGAATGCTGCTTCTCCCGCTTTGCGTTGTTACGATTCCTTCTGTATTTTTGTCTTTAGTTTCTACCTCCCCTTGGCATTTTTACTGTTTTGTTTGTTTTGGTTGGTATTTTAGTTTGTTTGGGGGGTTTTTTGTATTTGAATCTATATTTACTGTTTAGACTGTTGCTGAACCTCTCTGTGATATCAAAATGACAGAAAATTGACAAAAAAAACACCAAGTGTCTTAAAATATTGTATCGCCATCGTTTTTAATGCCAAGTAATACTTGTAAATGTTTGTGTATCAAATGTGGCCTCAAAGGAAACTGAACTATATTATTATTAATATTAATATTATTTGAGCAGTTATTTTAAACAAGTGCTGTAGACCACTGCTGTGAAAGTAGTTGATTTTGTTCATTGATATGTAATAAATATTTATGAAATTTCTGTTGGGTGGTTTCTTTGGCTTACACACACACACACACACACACACACACACACACACACACACACACAGATATAGATATATGCAGGCTGAAAGCAATGTAAGTAATGTTAAGGTTAAATGCCAACATACATTTCTGCTTTAACTCTCTTTTCTGTAGCTGACTGAGTCATAGGTCTGGGGTTGTTTAGTCTTGAGTTGTTTAAATGGAGCATTTCTTTCTGTTTGGATTTTTAACCCAGCAATAATCTGATTATGAGGTTCAATGTAAATGTTTACCTTTGTAATACATTGCAAAGTACACACAACTACCAAAGCCCAGCAGAACACCGATACTAGCATCACACCACCTTTTACTCACTTGCCCTTTTCAACGCCCATCACAACGTGGCTGCTGAAGTTCAAATTGAACATTAGAATGGGAATGACATGACTCCTGGTGCTGGACTGTTCTCAGTATTTCAGAAACTGCTGATCTGGTGGGGTTTTTCTGCACAACCAGTTCTAGGGTTTACAGAGAATTGTCGGGAAAAGAGAAAATATCCAGTAAGCAGCAGTTTTCTGTGCGATTACGGCTGATGTTAGAGGTCAGAGGAGAATGGCCAGACAGCATGGAGATGATAGGAAGGCAACAGTAAGTCATACCAAGGTATGCAGAAGAGAATTTCTAAATGCACACAATGTTAGCCCTTGAAGATGGGCTACAGCATCAGAAGACCAGACTGAGTGCCACATCTGTCAGCAAAGAACAAGAAACCAAGGCCACAGTTCACACAGGCTTAGCAAAACTGGATAATGGGAGAATAGAAAAACATTCCCTGGTCTAATAAGTCTTACATTTCTGCTGCATCATTCATATGATAAGGTCAGAATTTGATCTAAACAGCATGTAAGCTGGATTCTGATTTCTATCAACAGTTCAAGCTGCTGCAGATACTGTAATGGTTTGGTGAATATTTTCTTGGCACACTAACAACTGAGCCTTGTTTAACCTCCTAAGACCCAAACTCTTTCATGGCATGCATTTTAAATTTTTCTTTGCTATTGGGTTGATTGGGACCTGAGGAATGTAAAAACAAAAAATTACCAGATTTTTATTTATTTATTTACCTAATTTTTGTTTCTGATACAAATGAGATCCACGTATGAGGACATTGGTTTTAAATTCTGATAGAACGGTGGCAGTATAATGTCCTCACAAGTGAATATCAGGCCCTTGTAGAGAAAAATTAAGTATTTTCGTCTAGACACCAGGTCCTAGGAGGTCACACACCATCCATTTATGACCACAGAGTTCCCATCTTCTGATGGCTGATTCCAACAGGAGAGCATGCCATGTCATAAAGGGGAGATTCATATCATGGAGTCACATCTGACAAATCTGCAGCAGCTGTGTGATACCGTCATACCCACTCAGACCAAAATCTCTGCATTTTTTGGTTATGACTACAGTGAATCTGAGAGAAAATCTCATAAAACACTAGCAGGAAAACGCTATGAAAGAACACAAAACACAGCGGAAGTGTTTCCGGGGGGACATTAATGTGACAGAACAGCTGCAGCAGTGACAGAAACCAAAACATGCGAAGGACTGAGCAGAGACATGATTAAAAGAAGCGTGCAATTCATCTGTGACTCAGAAAAAGGTGAAACATAATTGTATTTTAATCACATAGTTCATATAATACTGCAGATAGATGTTTGCTATTAGCCGTTTATTGTTAGCTTGCCCATCCCGCAGCTGGTCCGTCACATTATTGTCTCCTCAAAATCCCCATTTTTTGTGAGCAATGTTTTTTCTCCTTCCGTTGTGTTTTATTTAACTTCCGTTGTGTTTTGTGTGCTTTAACACTATGTTTGCATGTACTGGTGTTTTTTGAAGTTACTATGCATTGGGCCCTTTCAGGCCCACATGTTGCCTATATTGACATTAATATGTAAAGTTAAATAAATCAGTTTAACTGAAATAAGACACAGAACAGTGGAACATCATAGTTATACAAGTTTAGATTCTGTGGTGTTAGAAAAGTGTTAGATAATTATTTAGCTGGTGTGAACTATTATTTTAATAACTCTAATAGGTGTCTATGTACTGTTACTAGTCAAAATCAAAAATTTATAATAATAATAATAATAATAATAATAATTGCATTTATATAGCACTTTTCGGGACCCTCAAAGCGCTTTACAATTCCACTATTCATTCACTCTCACATTCACACACTGGTGGAGGCCCTGGGGCAGACTGACAGAAGCGAGGCTGCCATATCGCGCCATCAGCCCCTCTGGCCATCACCAGTAGGCGGCAGGTGAAGTGTCTTGCCCAAGGACACAACGATCGAGACTGTCGTTGGGTCCGGCAACCTTGGAACCGGCAACTTTCCGGTTACAAGACAAACTGCCAACTCTTTGAGCCACGATCGCCATTTGGTTGAAGAGTGAAAGCTGAAAAGATCTGGCTGAGAAGTGCTCTGTGTGTCCACAAGGTGGGGGTAAATATTTATGTAGCTTTACTAAAATGACCAGTTTGTTTTTTTAATCTCACACAGGAGAGCCTGCACTTCTTAAACAAAAGAAAGTTTGGTCCAAAGTAAATTGATCTCCCTTAACAGCGAACAGCAGCAAAAACAGAGCTTTTGTCAGAGTTTTCCTCCAATCCAGAAGTTAAAAAAAAAAAAAAAACAGCATGCATGGGAAACGAAAAATATTTTACTTCACACTGATCTTATTCAGAATCAGAATACCTTATTGATCACTAGGGGAAATTATGTATTACAGTGAGAAGTGTAGGTAGGAGGTCAGGAACCACATTTCCTTTTACCCTCGAGGGC